TCTATATCTATGTAGTTGGTAAATTATTCTACACGAAACAGTCAATGCATCTTTAACCCAAGTGAGGAGATCCACCATTAACCACGATCACAGATACTTCAGGAAAATATATTTATTTAGTAGTCTCCCTTTTAAATCACGAGAATATTTAATAAAAAGATTAACATAATCACCGAAGGATATAAAAATGCATAGACTTGGAACTTTTGCATATTGGCAACATTAACACCGGAGTTGAAGTCATTGATTTCTCATCCACGAAGACGACCGACTAACAGACGGAAATCTAGTTGAAAAATATCGAGTAAGCTGTGCAACAACCCATTCAGAACAAACAAGAAACGCTTCTTCTTCAATGCCTCATTAGACACAACAGACTCAGGACAATATTAGCAGAAGCTTGGCAGGTCCTATTTCATTTTCTTTGCAGGCATTACCTTTTCCCTTCGCATATTTATTTGTTTATTCGGAAGAAAGAAGCTTTGCGTAGCACGAAGTCAAATGCAAAGAAGAGGGAAAGGAAAAACTTCGTATAGAGAATATGAACTCTTGGAGATATTGGCCAAACCTACGCAAGTCGTTGGGGGTCACTTAAAAAAATGTTTTTATGAGTAGCTATTCATCTGTCTGATTTTTGAATGATCTTCGTATATACAGTTTTATTCCTTCAATGCTAGAAGTAATAATAAAAATTACATAATTGTATATGCTTTTGCAACGTTAATATTAAACGATGATGCTATAAATCCAACGTAAATTGAGTAATCTATATGTCAATGTTGACACTGGGCAATCAACTAATAACTTCGATATGAACCGATCTGATTTCATATTTACTATCCATATCTACAACGAATCGTAAATACCTGCATACTGTGACAAAGCGTCTTAATTGCGATAGTCCGCTACTTGACTGCATGATTAGCTCAATGGAATGTCCATTTGCTATTATTTATGGAATGCAGACGCTCCTTTCCCACAGACCAGGAGGGCTATCATTTAAGAAATACAATCAGGATATTAAGAAAAAGGGAACAAAACGAACCATTTAGTTTAATAACTACTAGTTACGGCTGACAAGACTGCTTTCTACTACCTCTTTTATGGCGTCAGTAACGCATAACAACTTCAAAAGGAAAACTAACGGTACGGTGCCGATAGTAAAACACCAGTCTAGGAGTTTCGTCTTTAAAGTTTCTTTCACAAATAAAAAAACAACAACAAGAATTCCGTTTACGGTTTTAAAGCAAAGAGAGTTAACAGGTATTTTCATTGGCAAGTGTAAGTTCCAACTTTTAAAAGTATTCGAAGAGATTTCCATATTAATTATTCCAATAATATCCAATAATATTAGTATTATTATTTTACCTCTTTTCCAATATATTATTTATATCATATACAATATACAGTATTAACAAAAAGTCTAAGATTTAAAAATTATATAATTCTAAACCTTAAGTACCGTTCTAAGCCCTTACATACAGTCGAGCGATGGTCATTTTTATTTTAAGACAAATTTTTAATGATAAATGGAAAAAAAAAAAAAGAATCATCTCAGTAATATCATTTATTTTATTCTTTTATAATTGGAACAGTTCAGAAGCAATTTTTTTATTAACTGGTTAGTTTTTGCGATTTTGATTGATAATTTACTATTAGATTTGATTTATTGAATATTACATGAGTGGTTGGACTTATTGGTGAAGCAGCAGATCCCTGGATCATTTTCTTTTTAATCTGCATCGAGTAGATAACAAGAAGGAGGAAATTGACAGAACGAGCAGATTGAGGTGATTTTAGGGTGAAATGTTAAAGTCGTATTTACCATAGAGGGTCATCAATTTTTGGAAGAACTTTGGATTGTTTATTTGTATATTGTTCATGTGAGTTAGTTTTGCTGATTAATCGTTTGTTTCGTAGAGTAATTATCTGTTGTACATAACATACAAGAGTTTATTATATTGTCTTGTCAGTTCTTCTTTCTGTAATTTCGTATGTATGTTCCAAGTAAGTCGTATTTTATGTTTAAGAAATATAATTAGTAAATTCATAAAAATTAAACAAAAGAAAAATGAAAACAGACAGAAAAAAAAAATTGCCAAACAAATACTCTTAATATATGATAACCAAATAACCTTCGGGATAAATTAGCAAAATAAAATGATGAAGTGGAGAGGATGTAAGACACAAACTACAAGGGGGCTGCACTAATTTGGCTTAAAAAAGTAAGTAATGCTGAAAAAGATCTGGAAAGAAAGTCTCCTTCATCGAATTTGAGAGGGGTGTTGAAACGTGCTTTAGGCCCGTGTGTCTACTAGATAATTATGACTAATATTTTAAAAAATAAGCTTAATAGGAGAGTGAACCATGCTGTTATAAAGATAACTATTAAAAAAACAAAGATTTTGTTTACGGCTTTGGTATTCTCTTTCAATCGCTATCTTGTTTATGTCTGGTTGATGAATAACATCAACACAATGAGTCATACGGATACAAGTAATCGAACTGATAATTAGTTACCCAATTATAAATTTACTTAATAATTAAATTTTTATAAGGAAACGCCGATAAATTAATTAAGGCGCTAATCGAACGAATAATTTTATAATATTCATCAGTGACTTCGTTTAAATTTCAGAAACCAAATACTCCTCGGTGACTTTCCGAGGAACAAAGAACTTTCGCAGCTATATTCGTGGTCTATTTCATCATTTCAAGTGATTTATAATCACTTAAAGTGCAACTTCAAAATCGTTCGGTGCGAATTCCAAAAGATGACATTGTATGTACTAAAAATAGAACATTGCCTAAGTTAGTAGAAAGATAAAGACTGACTGCTAACAAGAGAGAACAAGCAGTCACAAATTAAGACGGAAGGAAATAGTTTTGTACCGCATGCGAATAGCTGAGAGTCATGTCTCTCACGGTAACTTAGTGCGAGCTCTACTCCCCAACGTCGGCTAATTGTAAATGAGTGTGAAATATCTTTCTACGTCAGTTACTAAACGGCTCATCTTCCATCGTTGCGCTGAAAACTGTGCTTCCAAGTTACACCAACACGGAAAGGGGTTCAACCGGACGAACACGATGCTATCAGCATTATACTATTCCTAAAAGCTCCAATTTTGATGGCCGTGATTAAACATTCAATTCATTTCAACCACACATAGGAGTAACGGCAAATAAATACACAGCTTTTAGAGCACTACAGCTTGAAGCTGCTTGTGACATGTAGGGGATAACTTAATCACACCAAAAAAAAAATCTTTTCAATTACACTTTGGCCGTAATTTAAGAAAACATAGAAATAGTTAACAATTACAAGGAGCAATGACGCACTTCACCAAATTCTCGCCAAATTTTTCTCTTAGGATCCAATTAGCCCAAAATTGTGGTTCTTCAAATACAATTTTAACTAAATACATAGAGAATTATTTACAAAATGCTTGAGATGAAAAGTCTCTTAGTAATGAACAAATCGCTAAGAAGTCTATTCGGGAAAACTCAACAGTTAAAGGCCAGAAGCAATAAAAAACGTAGCAGAGAAGATAATTTGATTGTGCTAAGACTGATCATGCATAAAGAAGGTAGGTCGATGGACTGAGAGGAGTATGAGGTTGTATCGGAATGAAACCTTCAGTTTCGCTGACTTTTTATTATTACTGTAAGCAAATGAATATAAAACAACAGAAATATACATACTATAATAAGTGGAATGATTTTGAATCACCTTCTTCAATCTTCACTATGCAGAACGAATAATTTTAACAAAATATCTCACCAAGTAGACCTTAAAAAATTATGTCAACACGATCCAAATAACCCTTACAACAAGCAATTGGGTTCAATACTTAGTAATACTGTTGGCAGTACTGTTTAAAGACCAATGGTTTAGTAGGAAGGTTGGGATCATACTCAACCGCCAGGATTCTTCCCTTAATTCATTACTTATTTATGACCAGAATCGATGTTACAGAGTCCATGGTTGATGTTGCAGAATAAATAATTTCTATAACCCCTAGAGGGGTCATGGGAAAACTAAAAGGAACTCCTCCGAGAAAAACTCTAGACCAAAATGATGATGGAACGTTTACTAAGTCCGAAGGGTAAAAATTTATCGCGAAAGTTATTCTGATTGGTGCTTTAATAGATCCTCAGTGAATAGAAACTATAATTATCCACAGCAACTTGAGCACTAGAAGTCATAGCCTTAGTCACTGAGTTACACCGCTCCCGAGGAGGAACCTCCTCCAATACAAACACACATACTTATTTTGGAGTGTGACATAGTCCACTAATTTAGGATTGCCAATACAAATGGATGTAAATTCGAACCTTCTACTCGGACTAAGTAATCATTGACACCGTCATCGCCTTCAGCACCGGCAATCAGACGGGAATGATATAATAGCACGGTTCCGCAGACTTCCTATGTGATCACTCCTTCAATCACGGGGCCTTGTCTGACTCACGAATCCCTCTCTAGTGACTCAACGCTACAACGCCAAGGAGGGATTATTTGCATTATCCGTTGGCAATGTAATAAACTGCGCAATTTTCTTGGACTGCGCATAACAAAGAAGGTACAGAGAATAAAAACAAATCTGATATCAAAACATACGTGAGAAAGAAAAGCAATAGTTGAATTGATATCCTTATCCGAAATCTAAGGAATCGTGGATCAAAGTTGCCATACTTAAAAAAAAACCCAGATAAAGAGTGATTTATTTGTTTCGTTAAAGCTTATCTGAGAAAATTTAATAGAATTTCCAAATTGAGAAAACTAATAATATTTATTTCAAATTCAGTTGTGAACACTTCATCATTTCATTCCGATTTTAATCAATTGAAATGGCAGGAGTGGGAGGAAAATAAAAGGCAAGACCTCCAGACTGGACCTTTATAAAACCAACTCAAAATACACGGTTTTTGTATTCTCTAATTCGAATAATAATTGGAAAGATCTGTAGAGATGCTCAAACTATAAAAACCACGAAAAAATGGCGCGGACTGCAGAAGCTGAGACTCCCAAATGGCACTCTTCCGACATCGACCATATTCACAAAAACAATTTCAACACTCTGACTTACTTTGCAGGGTTGAAGTGCGTAAGACTTTAAAATTCGGAAGGGAAAAAAGCTCGAATATGTCGAAATTTAGGATTTATAGTTGCTTTTAAAACGGTACTACTGACCTAATCACAGCTCATTTGATCCAAGAGAGGCTAGAGATGATAAGATCTAGGAGAAAATATATATATATTTTTAAGTTAATCTTGTTCAAAATAAAAATGTATCCTTTACTCCTTAGATGACCTTTGGTATAGTGCAATGGTCAATTATTTTAGGGGAAACAAAAAAAAAATAAGAAGTGACATATGGACTGTCTTTGTCACCATTTCGAAAAATAAATAGCGGAAAATTCATAAATTTTCTTTCTGTGAAATTATAAAATTCTGCACTTGTAGAACTATAAATATCATCATCTGTAACAAACGAAAAAAATGCAGTAACAGAGGTTTTACAAATAATTGAAATAAATGAAAACAAAAGATTTAAAATCTTCTAATTCTTAAGAAACGGAATGTGTGGTCTGGTAATCGGTCTGTTAAAACAAAGAAAAGTGATTACTGGACATTGACACGAACCTGTCGAACCAGTATCGATTACAAGGCCAACGGAAGACCTCGTTCAATCACTGAAATTGGCGAAATTCCTAAGTAAAAAAAAATATGTTATAGCAAAGCACCAGGCCCTGCAATGAAACGAGACGATTTTATGATTGGATTATGTATCGATGGATTATTTTTTCCAGTATAAATATAAAATACAAGAATAGAAATTTGAGTACAATAAAAAATAAATAAACACTTTATGCACCAAATTTTCCCTTTTGAGATTCATGCCTTTCTTGGAGTTGTACCAGCAGCATGACCTATCGGAAAATACTGGAAAACTATTTTGTTTTCAGGTACTTCATATAGAAAATCTGGAAGTAGGGCAATCATTTATATTGGTTAGCAAATTATCCATATATCAAAATCTATGACGTAATTTGGTAATAAAATCTGTAGGAGACCCCGTTTTAGAAAAATGGACTTGTCAATAAAAAAACGCACACAAACTTTTCTTCAACTTTGAGCCAAATCGACCGAGATGTTTTTAAATATTGTCATATCTAAGAAAATACACTCACATGTGCCCATGTGGGTCCCGAACCGCACAATCTCTAAACACTTCTTAAAAATCGGATATATAATCTTAGGATAGGATTAATGAAAATTGCGAAGGCGATAAGCGCGTCACATGATGTTGACTAAAGAGAGATACAGAACCAAATTTCTTCCTTTGTGTCTAAAACAACGTGAATGGAAAGAACTTTTCTATATCCAACAAAATTTTTTGTTTAACCTCGCATTATATCAGCTCCCGAATACAAATCTCTCTAAAGTGTATTGTAAGTAGTTTAATTTCAAACTCTTAAAATAAGCTATTCGGGACAAGTTATCCGATATACCCCAATATGACGCGAGAGATCACTTTGGAGTCGAGAGACAAACATTCCAGATACGAAGGATATCTGGAAAAGTATTTGGAAAACAGTTTTATTTTTTGCTATTGCACCAACAATAAGTATTGCTCGACAAATAGTTTTTCTTGTACTTCACATTCATACATGAATGACATTAAAAAAATATCCTTTGATAAATAATTTAATTTTGAAATCATACCGCTTCACTGCTAGATAATATATAATGGATATATTCCTATTTTGGTTAGTAAAAATTCATGATCTGGTAAAATTGAAAATAAATTCCGTAAATAATTGTAGAATCTCGAAAAAGTACCAACAAACCAAACTAGATATTATAAAAGAGACATGAATACGCTCAGACTCGTACCGATTCGGATATCACAAAATTCGGAAAACAGGTTTGGAATAAATAATGTGAACCGAATTAATTTAATTTAAGGACTTGATTGCCGTCACGAAAAAAAGTTGAATTATTTATACGAAGATAAATATTGTTAAAGAATTATATTAAATTATACAAGAAAAGGCTTAAAGAATTACATAAAATTCAAAATATATATTCTTTAAACTTACAAAAACATCATATTAGAATCAATAAGCGAATCCCTACGAACAACAAAAAAGAATGTAGCTGTTTCTTTAAAGAATAAGTAAGCCCGCACATAAGTCAGGACAAACAACAAGGTTGCAAGCCTGATGGATGGCATTAAGAAACAAGAATCTATTTTTGAACTGAGATTTTTTTTTAGCTAGTGGCTAAAAAAGAATACAAAAATTAATTAGCCCGTGTTCCAAAAATAGCAATCCAGATCACCGAAAGGGTAAGCTCCAGAGACTGGATTCTGAGTCATAAACCGGTCTGATGTGTCCTAAACCCCGGCGACTCAAAACGTAGTTCTATTTAGTGGAACAAATTACAAATGTATTTCGAAAAAGTAATTTGCATCACAAGGAGTAATACATGTTTTTCTAAGAAATAATTTTTTTTTTAATGTTTGCTCAGGAGGTATGAAATCGACAAAGCGGGCTGCTATTTCTTAAAATGTAAATAGACTAAAACATAATTTTTTTATATATAATATATTCATTTTTAGTTCCTCAGTATGACCATATAATTTTGTCATTCTAAATTATAGAAGAATATTCGATTAAACGTGAGGGATATGCGAAATATACGAGAAAATTGCCTATTAACAAAGAGAGAGAATTTTCAGATAAGAAATTTGAAAAAGTGAAACCCACAATTATTTTGTTAAATTGATAAACTGAGTAGTCTGATTTATTATTTTAAACAGAAAATCTTTGTTACAGATCAAGATCAAGTTTGGCCACCTCAAAATTTGAGATTATGCGCTTCCAGATATATACCGTATAAAAAAATAACCAAAACTGAAATTTAAAAAAATCAACCTAATAGTCTGGTAAGAAAGCCAACGGCAGAGGCTTTCTTACCAGACTATTAGGTTGATTTTTTTAAATTTCAGTTTTGGTACCAAAGTCAAGGGTCACCCTGGGATTAACCTCGTGACTCGACGTTACCATAATTTTGGAAACAAAATGGCTGTCGAACTGAGGCTTTACAAATCCATTTTTTGGAATTATTATATTAAAGGAAAATCTAGATAATTTTTCAATACTTTTAATGTTTGTTACGGTTACCTAATTGAAAAATATTAAAAATCCATAAATCATACAGATTGTTTGTCCCCCTGCTCCGAACTTAATAAACTAACTTTTTTTTTTAAACAATAACATGAAATATAAAATTATTTATTCGGATAATGAGTTCCATGTACAGTAAGTAATAGTATTACATGTGGATTTAGTTCGACTATAATCAGTGGGAGTGATTTAGATACCTGTGAGCATATCTTAGTTAAAAACTGATAAATCAATGATTAAACGCGAGCCTTAACGTAATTAGGAAAACTTCAATTAGTCTCAATAAAAATCAAGCTGAGATAGCTAATGGAAAAAAAATACTAGACGTTGGCAGATGAAAGATAAGATAGTCGACATGCAATCTAACTGATAAAGATAAAATACTACCATTATATTCGCGTTAAATGAATGCATGCTATTCTCATTACTCGAGATTATAAGAAGTCATTACTATTACGTGCTATAACGTTTTATGAAGGTATAGTAAGTCTATTAAAACTAAAAAAGAATTTTTACTTTTTCTAGTGCATTTCTTAACTAATAAATTAAATGGGAAGAGTTGTTTGTTACTGTCTTAGCGATGGAGAAACGAGTATGTAATTTTCATTGGATATTTTTACTTCGGCTTCAGCAGAAGAGAAAATAAAAATTTAAAGCTTTAGTGATGGAAATTAGCTAAGAAGAATCTTGGCATACCATGAAACCATTATCTGCTATGAAATAAAATATTGATATCACGGTTTTAATTGAATATTCTTGGAGAACCCGATGAAAATTAAAGACAAGCAATCAATGAATAGCAGAAAAGATAATGAAAATCGTATTAAAAAGGACAATGGCGAACGTCATCAACTCTGACGTCAAAGGTATTGTCCAGATCGTTGCGCTCAGCAAAATCAAAATCGTAAAAATAACTTGCCAAATGTGCTTTTCAATTACACCATCAATAACCAGCCTGATACACAGATTTTGATACTAACAGATATTTAATGAAATACAATTAAATATTTTTACTATGTTTCTTAGAAAATACGAATTTAACTTGGAATTCCGCAAATTGTAAAGAAATATATGATCTTATTATTTTTTTTTTTTTGTAAGCTTAAAATGAATTTGAGAATAAAAAAATGATACGTAATGTCATTTATTCCATATGCCAAAAATGCTATTTTCCAAGCAAATAAAAATGTTACTAAAGGAATCTGTATTAATTATAAGTTGTTTATTTTGACTTAAAACAGATTTTGACTGATACTAGATAATTCAGCTTGTAATGGTGCAAAATGTGGTAAGTTGCCACTATAGAATGCTATTGGTACATTGAAAATTCATACCTATTAAAATTAATTAGCAATTTTTACAACTGAAAAAACAGTAAAACCAAACTGTAAATAAAAGAGATTGTATATTTACTATCCATCGGTTTATATTTACTATACATAGATATTTTAAATCCTATTGAACAAAACAATTTAATAGTGTTTCATAATTTTTATAGAAAAAAATATGAAGCAGTGTGCTAAATAATTGTAAATTACAATTTTTATTTCAATGAAATTGTTATATAAAAAAAAAATAGTATAATTGTAATCATTTTAAATAGAAATAGTTTTTTTTTTTACTGTAATAATCATTAACGAATGGATTAAATTTTGACTCTCAATATGACCGCTTTAATAATTTTTAACTTTTCTTACTCCGGATCCGAAGGAAAGAATTAATTAAAAAGAAATAATACAAAAAAAAATCACCACTTCCCGTATACTTTTCCTAATGAACTTGAAGAAGTAAAAAGCAAATTAAAAGAAAAATGCAGGGAAAAGTTCCCTGAAATAGCTCATTAAAACAACTTGTTCGACACCACGTTATGGTTTATTCAATACTTAAAGACTAACAACGAATTTTCATAAGTAAAAACTTGAAACAACAAAAAACATTTAAAGGAACTCGTTATTGTAATGTTTCTTTCATACATATAGATATATATTGTAATCAAAAACTTCGGTTATATTAATATAATTTTATAGATGACGAAACATAGCAAGTTATGGGATTAATAACTTTTGATTGCCCAAAAACGCGCAAGGAGCTAGTTGTTGCCAAAAGTGTTGACACGACAGAATCGAATTTAAAAAAAAAAAGAAAAGATAAATTCAAGTTATTGTATTCGTATTGATTATGTAATATCTATATTCCATATTGATATATCTCGTTTATGACGGTAGAAGGTTAAATTGAGTATTTATATTTGAATAATTTTCATCATTTTTATCTTAGGAAATAATTCTTTAAAGCGATATGAGGTTCGATCTCATCATACATAACAAAACGATGTTTTTTCTCTTTTTTTTATTAATTTATCAAAGTAAATAAAAAATAAGTAAAACTAAAAAATAATGGTAATATTAACAAATAAAATAAATTATAATATATTAATGAGTTTTTATTTTTTTTTTCAGCAGTGTAACCGCATTGACTCCGTAGAATGGAAATAGGGACACGAAGGGTTGAATTCGACCAGTGTTTTGTTAGTTCATCTTTTATCGTCAAAGCGCCACCTGTCAAACTCCCTAACGTAACCTATTAGTTTTAACAAAAACTAAAAGTTGTTTCAAATACAAAATAAATAAATATTTAATGATTTAACAATAATCTTCAATTAAACGTTATTATTTTATTCATAAATATGATTAATAAACAGATGTACTGTTGAAGCATTCCATAATTAATGAAACAAAATATTATGCTCTGAAAATAAATTTTTAATCAGTAATTATTTCAATGAAAAAAATATTAGATTATTAATATTAGGTTACAAGATTTGATTTATCTCTGAAATAAATTAAAATAAATCCAAACTTAATAATTATAGGTAATAATAATAGATAATTTATCAAAAAATAATTCCCTTCCATCATCAATACAACTTGGGAATAGGATATATTCAATTATATTGATGAAAGAGTAAACAAAGTTAGCACCCAACAAAATCTTATCAAACGAACCCCTGAGGAGCAGTGTGGTCACAAATCAAACTATAGGCTCTATCAAATTACAATATTGTGTTCAATGAGATCGATACAACTCTGTTTAATTTATTTATTGATACGTTTTTCAAGGTAGAGAAGGATAGTTTTTACAAAGATCAAGATAGATAAATTTTACTTGAATGAATTAAAAGTTGATTTATACTAGAAGAAACCACTGAAGAGTAGAGAAGCGATAATTAAACAATTAATTATGGCCTGCAGAAATTAACATTTTGAAGGATATGGTATATTATATTATTTAATATGATGATGAGTAGGTTTCTGGCGAAAAACAAAATAAGGTAAAGTGAAAAATAAAATAAAATAAGATGATAAAATGAGATTAACATCCAATGTATTACCATCACTTAATATATATATATATATATATATATATATATATATATATTAAGTGATGGTAATACATTGGATGTTAATCTCATTTTATCATCTTATTTTATTATATATATATATATATATATATATATATATATATATATATATATATATATATATATATATATGCATAATATTGTAATATAATTCAAGAGATACTGAGATTATCAGTCAAGAGATATTGCAGTCTAGGATTTAATCTAATGCAACCTATCACAAAACCAAACTATCCAAGCACTAAAAATAATGCATAAGTAGTTCTTATTCAGTTTTAGAGTAATCTAGTATCAATTGAGTTTGTGCAAAATTAATTTCAGGTCGATTTCCCATCAAAATAAGAAATGACCGGTTCTATAAATTTTTCCAAAATTGAGATCTGTAGGATTGATTTTAAACTTGAATTTTAGTAAGATGAAGTTAACTTTTTTATTTTTTAAGTGAAAACTTCTGTAGGCGCGCTCAAAACTGTATCTTAACGACGCCGTGTTAAGGAAGGAAAAGGAAAAAAATAGTGTTGAAAACCAATAAGGTTAGTTGATCATATGGTTTAAAATATTTCAGATACTAAAAATCGGATCTGCATACTGTAAACGAGAGAAATGTTCGGCATTTCATCTTCTTTGTAATGAGATATTATTTATAATTTATATTTCATATTATTAATCTCACCTTGTTTATGTTTTCACTCATATCGTGTGATCTAAAGCACACACCTTGTTTTTATTTATTTTTTAATGCTAGCTCAGATTAAATTATTTTAATTGCGTGCACTTTTTTGTAAGATGATAGTAATTACAAACAAAAAAAAGTTTGCATGAGCACTGAGACGTTTTATTTTCTTAGTAATAATATATGTCATTATTAAAGTAATATAATATATACGTCTTTGTCTACGACGGTTTTATCAGAAATAACTAGATAAATCTGAGGCTCTGGTAACTAACCAAGATAAGGGTTCATATCATGTCTTTAGTTTTACATGTTTCAGTCTGATGAATCTCTTTGTCCAGTTGGAGATTTTATCGGATTTTCCGAGTAGTATAAATAAGTAAATTATAATACATATAAAATAAAAAGGAAAAAAATTATTTCATGTAGCTTCCTAATCAAATATATTAAGTATACAAGGAAACACTAATATACTCTCTTAATTGCTTATTTATTTATATTTTGGAACAGTCGGTACTTGAAAGCATTCAGTGCTCGAACCACGCCTTGAATATAACCCACATGTTTGGGTTGAAACATTAGCACAAATAAAGAATTAAATTTTTTTTTAAAAGACTGCGTCCTGAATAATTATCATTCAATATATTTTGGAAAATGTATTCCTCTCTTTCTCATTTTTAGTGTCAATACCGTTTAACGTAAATTATCTGGGGCTTATTTTAATGCAAATTTTATTTGTCTGTAGTTAATTGCAAAAAAAAAAAAAAAAAACAAAACAATAAATAACAACAATACAGACACGGTTAAACGCACTCTTCACTACGATTATAATTTTTTTTAAGGAAACAAAATGCAATATTTTAATTAAAAAATGTCTAATACACCGCAATCTTACAAAATTATAACCTCCTTTTATGAAATGTGATAGATGACCTCCATTAAGGGCCAGTTGCTCCAACTCAGTAAAGCTTAGATTTAAAGTTATCTAAGATTAAACCAAGTTTAATCTTGATCGTTCGACCTTAGAAAACTTAGTTTAATCTTAGATAACGCTTAATCAAAGCTTTACTGAGTTGGAGCAACTGACCCTAATAAGGATATATCTCGTGAGAAATAAAAAAACAAAAAGTAAATTAAACATTCAACACTTTTATCATAAAGGGCTATTTAATGCCATGGATCATGAAATGGATCTGTCAAATTATTTGGGGCTAAAACAATAGCTTTGTCACTCGTAATACAAGGCAATTGAAACCGCCATCTAAACTAAGACATTTTGATATATTTCATATTTTAAATATATATCAACAATTTTTTATAATTTACAGAGACAAATTAATAGGATCACAGGGATTGAGATTAGCTGATGATTCGTCAGCTTTTAATATTGCGAAATATCAAATATTTAATATCGCAATTTCAAATTAATAATTGATAATGATAATACGGTCAAGATATGAGAGTGTAACAGCCACCGTAATGCCACGCAAAGATATTGGGTATACTGATAACAATCGCTGAATGAAATTCAATACTTCCTATTAAAAAAAAATGACATTCATTGTAATGTATAAGGTCGATTACAAAAACGTCAATACCCACAGGAGAAAGACGTCATTAAAAAAACAGTGCAACCTACAAAGTATCCGCATGTAATTGGATATTGGCAGACATAATACCCGACCTAGACGGTGCAACATGTGATACAGTCTAGAGGGCTACCGCAACCTTGTATCTCATTATATGGCGTCTAGCTGCAACACAATCTTTTCCGTCCGCCGTATAATTACAAACAGTAATAAGGAATGTTGATAAGGGCGATTAACATTTATGGATCAAAATGGGAGAAGCAATTAAAAAAAAAAAAGTAGGATTTTAACGTAACTTTAAGAACGGTATCCAACACTGCGATCTTTAGATATGATGTTAGATAAAACCCAACACCATAACGACTTACTCGAACTACAAACGTAACAAATATATCTTAATATACCTTAAGAATAAAACGTATAAGTTCCTAAGATCTAGCTCAAAAAAAAAAAGAAGAAAAAAGATAAAAAGAAAGGAAAAATAATTTCCTTATATGTATAATTTAAACATAATTGCTTAAAATACTTTAATTCTTGTTTTCATAGTTTTAATAACATACAAGCCCTTTATACATCTAAAATCCATCAGAACCTCCGCTCACCAGCTTAATCCTTAAGAATGATCCCTATAATCCTTCTCGTAAATTGAAATGGCAGTGGTCCAAAGATCTTTTGTAAATACGTTAACTGGAGTTCTGGCAATGGTCTCCATTCTCCACTCAACTCACACTAGCTTTAAAAGATTAAGTTGAGAGGGAAGCGCCGGGATCTCCTTCATTCATGTATTACGCTAAAAAATAGAAAAGGGGAAAATACAGCTTTGAGTTCCCCTTGTTGAATATATATTTCATATTTATGTCCTCAAATAAGTCATGAATGAATTTCTCCATTGCCCTTGAATGAGAGAGATTTCCATATCCCAATATATAGTCCACCCTTTCTCCTCAAGTTGCAATATGTGGATAACAACATATGGTTTAGATACTGGTGCTTTTTTATTATAACGGAATACCAACTTAAAGAATTCTAAAAGATGGGTAGAGATTCTTCGATTTTAGACTAAATATATAGGTGAAAGCATTCTAAAAGTCGACCGAAACGTACATACGATGGCTAGTGAATAGTTCGATCCCTGGATTGAGGTGTGTAGAGTAAAGTGTATTATAGGCATTGAGCCTCCAAGACCGTTGGGTCTACTCTAGTTAAATGATTATTAAGGATTAAACGATCAATGACTTGATAAGTATCAGTAGTGGATCAAGATAAGGGTCCTAAGCAATAAAAATGTCGGTATCTTCCTTCAATACAATACAAACTAAGAGCCTATAAATATAACATTTTTTTTTAAAGATTTGTTCGATATTATTGAGGGTTTCGGAACATGATTGGCTATTTCTATAAATTAGGATACTATAAGACTTCGGGGCCTCTAGCTGTTTTGAGTAATTTACCCGTTTATTCGCATCCGATAAATTTAAGGTAAGGTTACACAAATAATTCAAATTAATATTTTAAATATATGGTTAAAATAGTCAAAATTTCGTAGAACAAAATATTTATCAGCTAGCCCTCCCCTTTTGATAACGTTTACCAAAGGTTTGGCATGGTTTCTCGAATATAATCTAAACTAATAAACAATGAAGAATATTCTAACTACTGTTTTTTTTTTTAATTACAATAATATATAAATAAAATAAAATTTAATATAAAATCGCACGATAAATAGCGATACGACGGATGCTGGCGACAGTTACGTGGTTGTTTACAGATTCCGGCGGTTACATAACCCAAGGGTCGAGAACAGCGCCAAGAACAAGCTGCGGTTTAAATACGACTATGTCAATTTGGCCAACATCAACACCAGGTGTGTTCGATCCGGGAGTAGCGCCGTACGGCATTTACA